GAAAGTGGCACATGGCAGCAGAGTGTGGCGATGGAGACAGCAGCAATGGGAGGCCGTACAGGGACCCATGAGAGACTCTGGACTTGGCAGCAGCATGAGGAGGCGGTATATAGGGGCCCATGGCAGATTAGGGGCCTGGCAGCAGCTATGTGAGGCCCGTAATCTGCCTGCACCCTATGTCAAAAAAAAAATTAACACACCAGCAGTGTGAAGAGACCTGAAAGTGGCACATGGCAGCAGAGTGTGTGGCGATGGAGACAGCAGCAATGGGAGGCCGTACAGGGACCCATGAGAGACTCTAGACTTGGCAGCAGCATGAGGAGGCGGTATATAGGGGCCCATGGCAGATTAGGGGCCTGGCAGCAGCTATGTGTGAGGCCCGTAATCTGCCTGCACCCTATGTCAAAAAATTTAAACACACCAGCAGTGTGAAGAGACCTGAAAGTGGCACATGGCAGCAGAGTGTGGCGATGGAGACAGCAGCAATGGGAGGCCGTACAGGGACCCATGAGAGACTCTGGACTTGGCAGCAGCATGAGGAGGCGGTATATAGGGGCCCATGGCAGATTAGGGGCCTGGCAGCAGCTATGTGAGGCCCGTAATCTGCCTGCACCCTATGTCAAAAAATTTAACACACCAGCAGTGTGAAGAGACCTGAAAGTGGCACATGGCAGCAGAGTGTGGCGATGGAGACAGCAGCAATGGGAGGCCGTACAGGGACCCATGAGAGACTCTGGACTTGGCAGCAGCATGAGGAGGCGGTATATAGGGGCCCATGGCAGATTAGGGGCCTGGCAGCAGCAGCTATGTGAGGCCCGTAATCTGCCTGCACCCTATGTCAAAAAATTTAAACACACCAGCAGTGTGAAGAGACCTGAAAGTGGCACATGGCAGCAGAGTGTGGCGATGGAGACAGCAGCAATGGGAGGCCGTACAGGGACCCATGAGAGACTCTGGACTTGGCAGCAGCATGAGGAGGCGGTATATAGGGGCCCATGGCAGATTAGGGGCCTGGCAGCAGCTATGTGAGGCCCGTAATCTGCCTGCACCCTATGTCAAAAAATTTAAACACACCAGCAGTGTGAAGAGACCTGAAAGTGGCACATGGCAGCAGAGTGTGGCGATGGAGACAGCAGCAATGGGAGGCCGTACAGGGACCCATGAGAGACTCTGGACTTGGCAGCAGCATGAGGAGGCGGTATATAGGGGCCCATGGCAGATTAGGGGCCTGGCAGCAGCTATGTGAGGCCCGTAATCTGCCTGCACCCTATGTCAAAAAAATTTAAACACACCAGCAGTGTGAAGAGACCTGAAAGTGGCACATGGCAGCAGAGTGTGGGCGATGGAGACAGCAGCAATGGGAGGCCGTACAGGGACCCATGAGAGACTCTGGACTTGGCAGCAGCATGAGGAGGCGGTATATAGGGGCCCATGGCATTAGGGGGCCTGGCAGCAGCTATGTGAGGCCCGTAATCTGCCTGCACCCTATGTCAAAAAATTTAACACACCCAGCAGTGTGAAGAGACCTGAAAGTGGCACATGGCAGCAGAGTGTGGCGATGGAGACAGCAGCAATGGGAGGGCCGTACAGGGACCCATGAGAGACTCTGGAGACTTGGCAGCAGCATGAGGAGGAGGAGGTATATATAGGGGCCCATGGCAGATTAGGGGCCTGGCAGCAGCTATGTGAGGCCCGTAAATCTGCCTGCACCCTATGTCAAAAAATTTAACACACCAGCAGTGTGAAGAGACCTGAAAGTGGCACATGGCAGCAGAGTGTGGCGATGGAGACAGCAGCAATGGGAGGCCGTACAGGGACCCATGAGAGACTCTGGACTTGGCAGCAGCATGGAGGCGGGTATATAGGGGCCCATGGCAGATTAGGGGCCTGGCAGCAGCTATGTGAGGCCCGTAATCTGCCTGCACCCTATGTCAAAAAATTTAACACACCAGCAGTGTGAAGAGACCTGAAAGTGGCACATGGCAGCAGAGTGTGGCGATGGAGACAGCAGCAATGGGAGGCCGTACAGGGGACCCATGAGACTCTGGACTTGGCAGCAGCATGAGGAGGCGGTATATAGGGGCCCATGGCAGATTAGGGGCCTGGCAGCAGCTATGTGAGGCCCGTAATCTGCCTGCACCCTATGTCAAAAAATTTAACACACCAGCAGTGTGAAGAGACCTGAAAGTGGCACATGGCAGCAGAGTGTGGCGATGGAGACAGCAGCAATGGGGAGGCCGTACAGGGACCCATGAGAGACTCTGGACTTGGCAGCAGCATGAGGAGGCGGTATATAGGGGCCCATGGCAGATTAGGGGCCTGGCAGCAGCTATGTGAGGCCCGTAATCTGCCTGCACCCTATGTCAAAAAATTTAACACACCAGCAGTGTGAAGAGACCTGAAAGTGGCACATGGCAGCAGAGTGTGGCGATGGAGACAGCAGCAATGGGAGGCCGTACAGGGACCCATGAGAGACTCTGGACTTGGCAGCAGCATGAGGAGGCGGTATATAGGGGCCCATGGCAGATTAGGGGCCTGGCAGCAGCTATGTGAGGCCCGTAATCTGCCTGCAGCACCCTATGTCAAAAAATTTAACACACCAGCAGTGTGAAGAGACCTGAAAGTGGCACATGGCAGCAGAGTGTGGCGATGGAGAGACAGCAGCAATGGGAGGCCGTACAGGGACCCATGAGAGACTCTGGACTTGGCAGCAGCATGAGGAGGCGGTATATAGGGGCCCATGGCAGATTAGGGGCCTGGCAGCAGCTATGTGAGGCCCGTAATCTGCCTGCACCCTATGTCAAAAAATTAAAACACCAGCAGTGTGAAGAGACCTGAAAGTGGCACATGGCAGCAGAGTGTGGCGATGGAGACAGCAGCAATGGGAGGCCGTACAGGGACCCATGAGAGACTCTGGACTTGGCAGCAGCATGAGGAGGCGGTATATATAGGGGCCCATGGCAGATTAGGGGCCTGGCAGCAGCTATGTGAGGCCCGTAATCTGCCTGCACCCTATGTCAAAAAATTTAACACACCAGCAGTGTGAAGAGACCTGAAAGTGGCACATGGCAGCAGAGTGTGGCGATGGAGACAGCAGCAATGGGAGGGCCGTACAGGGACCCATGAGAGACTCTGGACTTGGCAGCAGCATGAGGAGGCGGTATATAGGGGCCCATGGCAGATTAGGGGCCTGGCAGCAGCTATGTGAGGCCCGTAATCTGCCTGCACCCTATGTCAAAAAATTTAACACACACAGCAGTGTGTGAAGAGACCTGAAAGTGGCACATGGCAGCAGAGTGTGGCGATGGAGACAGCAGCAATGGGAGGCCGTACAGGGACCCATGAGAGACTCTGGACTTGGCAGCAGCATGAGGAGGCGGTATATATAGGGGCCCATGGCAGATTAGGGGCCTGGCAGCAGCTATGTGAGGCCCGTAATCTGCCTGCACCCTATGTCAAAAAATTTAAACACACCAGCAGTGTGAAGAGACCTGAAAGTGGCACATGGCAGCAGAGTGTGGCGATGGAGACAGCAGCAATGGGGGAGGCCGTACAGGGACCCATGAGAGACTCTGGACTTGGCAGCAGCATGAGGAGGCGGTATATAGGGGCCCATGGCAGATTAGGGGCCTGGCAGCAGCTATGTGAGGCCCGTAATCTGCCTGCACCCTATGTCAAAAAATTTAACACACCAGCAGCAGTGTGAAGAGACCTGAAAGTGGCACATGGCAGCAGAGTGTGGCGATGGAGACAGCAGCAATGGGAGGCCGTACAGGGACCCATGAGAGACTCTGGACTTGGCAGCAGCATGAGGAGGCGGTATATAGGGGCCCATGGCAGATTAGGGGCCTGGCAGCAGCTATGTGAGGCCCGTAATCTGCCTGCACCCTATGTCAAAAAATTTAACACACCAGCAGTGTGAAGAGACCTGAAAGTGGCACATGGCAGCAGAGTGTGGCGATGGAGACAGCAGCAATGGGAGGCCGTACAGGGACCCATGAGAGACTCTGGACTTGGCAGCAGCATGAGGAGGCGGTATATAGGGGCCCATGGCAGATTAGGGGCCTGGCAGCAGCTATGTGAGGCCCGTAATCTGCCTGCACCCTATGTCAAAAAATTTAAACACACAGCAGTGTGAAGAGACCTGAAAGTGGCACATGGCATGGCAGCAGAGTGTGGCGATGGAGAGCAGCGCAATGGGAGGCCGTACAGGGACCCATGAGAGACTCTGGACTTGGCAGCAGCATGAGGAGGAGGCGGTATATAGGGGCCCATGGCAGATTAGGGGCCTGGCAGCAGCTATGTGAGGCCCGTAATCTGCCTGCACCCTATGTCAAAAAATTTAAACACACCAGCAGTGTGAAGAGACCTGAAAGTGGCACATGGCAGCAGAGTGTGGCGATGGAGACAGCAGCAGCAATGGGAGGCCGTACAGGGACCCATGAGAGACTCTGGACTTGGCAGCAGCATGAGGAGGCGGTATATAGGGGCCCATGGCAGATTAGGGGCCTGGCAGCAGCTATGTGAGGCCCGTAATCTGCCTGCACCCTATGTCAAAAAATTTAAACACACAGCAGTGTGAAGAGACCTGAAAGTGGCACATGGCAGCAGCAGAGTGTGGCGATGGAGACAGCAGCAATGGGAGGCCGTACAGGGACCCATGAGAGACTCTGGACTTGGCAGCAGCATGAGGAGGGGGCGGTATATAGGGGCCCATGGCAGATTAGGGGCCTGGCAGCAGCTATGTGAGGCCCGTAATCTGCCTGCACCCTATGTCAAAAAATTTAACACACCAGCAGTGTGAAGAGACCTGAAAGTGGCACATGGCAGCAGAGTGTGTGTGGCGATGGAGACAGCAGCAATGGGAGGCCGGCCGTACAGGGACCCATGAGAGACTCTGGACTTGGCAGCAGCATGAGGAGGCGGGTATATAGGGGGCCCATGGCAGATTAGGGGCCTGGCAGCAGCTATGTGAGGCCCGTAATCTGCCTGCACCCTATGTCAAAAAATTTAACACACCAGCAGTGTGAAGAGACCTGAAAGTGGCACATGGCAGCAGAGTGTGTGGCGATGGAGACAGCAGCAATGGGAGGCCGTACAGGGACCCATGAGAGACTCTGGACTTGGCAGCAGCAGCATGAGGAGGCGGTATATATATAGGGGCCCATGGCAGATTAGGGGCCTGGCAGCAGCTAGTGAGGCCCGTAATCTGCCTGCACCCTATGTCAAAAAATTTAAACACCACAGCAGTGTGAAGAGACCTGAAAGTGGCACATGGCAGCAGAGTGTGTGGATGGAGACAGCAGCAATGGGAGGCCGTACAGGGACCCATGAGAGACTCTGGACTTGGCAGCAGCATGAGGAGGCGGTATATATAGGGGCCCATGGCAGATTAGGGGCCTGGCAGCAGCTATGTGAGGCCCGTAATCTGCCAGCACCCTATGTCAAAAAATTTAACACACAGCAGTGTGAAGAGACCTGAAAGTGGCACATGGCAGCAGAGTGTGGCGATGGAGACAGCAGCAATGGGGCCCGTACAGGGACCCATGAGAGACTCTGGACTTGGCAGCAGCATGAGGAGGCGGTATATAGGGGCCCATGGCAGATTAGGGGCCTGGCAGCAGCTATGTGAGGCCCGTAATCTGCCTGCACCCTATGTCAAAAAATCAACACACCAGCAGTGTGAAGAGACCTGAAAGTGGCACATGGCAGCAGAGTGTGGCGATGGAGACAGCAGCAATGGGAGAGGCCGTACAGGGACCCATGAGAGAGACTCTGGACCTGGCAGCAGCATGGCAGCAGCAGAGGAGGCGAGGCGGTATATAGGGGCCTATGGCAGATTAGGGGCCTGGCAGCAGCTAGCTAGGAGGCCCGTAATCTGCCAGCACCCTATGTCAAAAAATTAAACACACCAGCAGTGTGAGGAGAGACTGAAAGTGGCACATGTTTGAGGCATGATTCATGGCGGATTTAGTCAGTTGTGTCAGGAACTGGTGGTTTGAAATCCAGACTAATCCACGCCTGATTCATTTTCACAAACGTGAGTCTCTCCACACTTTGGGTGGACAGTCGTGTCCTCCGCGGAGTTACAATACCTCCTGCCGCACTAAACACGCGCGCTCCGATGCCACGCTACTGGCCGGGCATGACAGCCTTTCAAGGGCAAATTCAGCTAGTTGGGGCCAAAGGTCAAGTTTCGTTGCCCAGTAGTCAAGGGGATTGTCTACCTCGGTTGGCAGGGTGCTGTCCAAGTAGGCCCAAGCCTGTTGTTTGAGCTCCTGCTCCAGGTCCACCTGATGCTGCTGCTGCTGCTGCGGGCTGGTTAGTAGTTTCCTCACTGCGCTGGTGAAGAAAGCTACTCATCATCGACTGCAGACTGAGGCAGCCGCTGCTGGTGGAGCTGCCACTGCTCCTACCACCCCACCCCTCCCCTGCTGCCATGCCAGCGGAACGCGAGCGCACAGGGCCCACAGTGTCTGAGGATGGACGTTGGCGCACAAAGGCAGAGAGACAAACTGACTACATAGGTGGTTTTTATAGTACGTAATTTTGGCCTCCCTCTCAGCAGGTGTGAAAAAGGCCACCATTTTGGACCCGGTAGCGAGGGTCCAACAAGGTGGACAGCCAAAAGTCATCCCTCTGTCTGATGGTTATTATCGGCTGTCGCTACGCAAGCAACCGAGCATGCTATGGGCCATTTGTGCCAAGGAATGCGAGGGACTCCCTGCCTCCATCTCCACAGCATACTGCCACGGTGCGTGCGTGGGGTCCTCTGTCTCCTCCTCCTCCTCCTCTACCAGATGCTCCTGCTCCTCCACTCCTGTCCGCTGAGTGGAAAAACCACCCATTTCACTCAATAATTCCTGAGCACAAATGTCCTCCTCTACCTCCTCCTCTTCTTCCTGTCCTGCCCCCACAGGGGTCATGTGGCGTTGAGATCTGTGCGCCACGTCTACCGCACCCTGACCAGCCATTGTTAACAGCATTTGTTCCAGGACGTGCAACAGAGGAATGACGTCGTTCATCCCATAGTCCTGCCGACTCACGAATAGCGTGGCCTCCTCAAAGGGCCTGAGCAAGCGGCAGGTGTCACGCATGAGCTGCCAATGGCTGACATCTAAGTTACACAGGGGAGTACCTTTATCCGCTTGTAACATCAGGAAATCGGTGATGGCCTTTCGCTGCTCGTAAAGGCGGTCTAACATGTGTAGGGGTTGAATTCCACCTTGTTGCAAACGTCGCAGATCAGGCGATGCTGTGGAATTCCGTTCTGCCGCTGCAGCTCAATGAGGGTGTTCTTTGCGGTGTAGGAATGGCTGAAATGCATGCACAGTTTACGTGACATTTTAAGGATGTCTTGCAGTGGGATGGTGGATTTTAGGAACCGCTTGACAACCAGATTGAACACGTGAGCCATGCATGGCGCATGGCACAACCTTCCTTGACGCAGAGCAGACACCATGTTCTTTCCGTTGTCAGTCAACATGGTTCCGATTTTTTTTTAGTTTGCGCGGAGACAGCCATCTGTCGATTTCTCTGTTCATTACACTCAGCAGTTCCTCCCCTGTGTGACTACGTTCGCCAAGGCATACCAGGTGCAGCACAGCGTGACACCGTTGCGCCCTGCACATGTGATATGCCGGTCGGGTAATGGGACTTGGCACGGGGGGGTGGCGGCTGAGGACACGGCGGAAAAAGAGGTGGTAGAGGCGGACATGCTTGCTGGACCAAGGACGTGCAAACGTGGAGGCAAAAGCGTCGTGACCTGTCCAAGTTGCTGGTGCGGCTGTGCCGGCACCACGTTCACCCAGTGGGCCGTAAATGACATGTACTGTCCCTGACCGTAGTTACAGCTCCACACGTCGGCGCTGCCGTGCACTTTGGCAGAGACCGACATGCTCAAAGACTGGCCCACCATCTCTTCTACATGTGAATGCAGGGCTGGCACTGCCTTTTGGGCAAAGAAATGACGGCTTGGCACTCTCCACCGCGGCGCGGCACAAGCCATCATTTCTCGGAAAGGTGCTGAGTCCACCAGTTGGAAAGGGAGGGACTGCAGCACCAGCAACTTGGACAGGAGGACGTTCAGCTTTTGCACCGTCGGGTGCGTGCTCGCAAACTGTTGTCTCTTGGATACGGATTCCAAGAAAGACTGTTGACGGAATCCGAGAAGAGGAGTAGCAGGAGAAGGAGCATCTGAACGAGCGGAAGATGCCAATGAGCGACAACTCCCCTCAGCAGAGGTGTTGGAGCCTTGACTGGCTGATAGAGGGCGATTGACGACGTCGGGTGTGACGGAGCAAGTAACGGAGCGGGTGATGGTGGATGGGGCGGGGGCTGGGGCAGGCAGAACCGCCGTATGTTTATCACGGTTTTCCCAGGCCACCGAATGGTGACGCTGCATATGCTGACGCAACGCTGTAGTCCCAACATGGGCCCCCTGGCCACGCTTGCATTTCTGGCCACATAGTCGACATACGGCTACGTTTACTTCCTCGGGCGGCTTGAGGAAAAATTGCCACACCACCGAGTAGGAAACTTTGCCCCCGCTACTCTTCACTGGCTGACTGCTACTTCCTCCGTGCGCACCGGCACCACTACTGGCCGTGGTGGTAGGCTGCAGTGGAGCTGCTGGTGCTCTACTCCGTGGACGTTTGGCTCCACTGACACTGATGCGACCCTGCTGCTGTCTCCTGGGCAACCCACCGACTGTTTTGCTCGCTGCCAAGCTGCCACCCTCTTCTCCTGATGATGCGGAAGAAATTTGCCTGATGACGACGAGGCTGCCAAGTGCGATCAACCTCCTCATCATCAAGTAGGGTCTCCGCTCACTACTAGCCCCCTCGGCTGCGTCTGGGTCAGGAGACAGACCTGTCTCTAGACCGGCTACCGAGCCACTCTCCTCGCCACTTGTTCGCTTGGCTGCTGAAAAGGCCGATGTCTCCCCCCGTTCCTGACCGCCCTCTGTTAGCTCTTCCTCACTGTACAGTGGGGCTGAGCCCACAGCATGCGATACTTCGCTTGGTGAGGGAACAGCAAAGGACAGGGGCAGGTAGAGGACACGTGATTTCAGTGGGCTTGGTCCCGGGCCATGCCAACTAACGGTTGTGTCTGACGTACCCCCCGACCGTTGGCTGTAGGTGTCAGAGGTGACCTGGGAAGAGGAAGACGACCGAGCCAACCAATCAATGACGGCAGGGTTGTCGGTGGAGACACGACCGCTGGATGACACCGGGAGCACTGGGCCTCTGGCTGCGAATACTGCTGCCTCGACCCCTTCCTCTGCTGCCACGTCGTCTGCTCGCTCCTAAAACATTGCCTCCTCTGCCACTCCTCTGCATGTTGTCTGACATACTATTTAATTCAACGATTAGGTGTCCCTGAGTAACAATTCTCTGGCACTCAGTAACAATTCTGTCTGTCCCTGAGTATGAATTCTGTGGCCCTGAGTAACAATTCTGTGTCTGTGCGAGTAACAATTCTGTGTCTGTGCGTGCGAGTAACAATTCTGTGTCTGTGCAAGTAACAATTTTGTGTAACTGTGCGAGTAACAATTCTCTGGCACTCAGTAACAATTCTGTCTGTCCCTGAGTAACAATTCTCTGGCACTCAGTAACAATTCTGTCTGTCCCTGAGTAACAATTCTCTGGCACTCAGTAACAATTCTGTCTGTCCCTGAGTATGAATTCTGTGGCCCTGAGTAACAATTCTGTGTCTGTGCGAGTAACAATTCTGTGTCTGTGCAAGTAACAATTTTGTGTCTGTGCGAGTAAACAATTCTCTGGCACTCAGTAACAATTCTGTCTGTCCCTGAGTAACAATTCTCTGGCACTCAGTAACAATTCTGTCTGTCCCTGAGTAACAATTCTGTGGCACTCAGTAACAATTTCTGTGTCCCTGAGTAACAATTCTGTGTCTGTGCGAGTAACAATTCTGTGTCTGTGCAAACAATTCTGTGTCTGTGCACTCAGTAACAATTTTGTGTCTGTGCGAGTAACAATTCTCTGGCACTCAGTAACAATTCTGTCTGTCCCTGAGTAACAATTCTCTGGCACTCAGTAACAATTCTGTCTGTCCCTGAGTAACAATTCTCTGGCACTCAGTAACAATTCTGTCTGTCCCTGAGTAAACAATTCTCTGGCACTCAGTAACAATTCTGTGTCTGTGCGAGTAACAATTCTGTGTCTGTGCAAGTAACAATTTTGTGTCTGTGCGAGTAACAATTCTCTGGCACTCAGTAACAATTCTGTCTGTCCCTGAGTAACAATTCTCTGGCACTCAGTAACAATTCTGTCTGTCCCTGAGTAACAATTCTCTGGCACTCAGTAACAATTCTGTCTGTCCCTGAGTAACAATTCTGTGGCCTGAGTAACAATTCTGTGTCTGTGCGAGTAACAATTCTGTGTCTGTGCAAGTAACAATTTTGTGTCTGTGCGAGTAAACAATTCTCTGGCACTCAGTAACAATTCTGTCTGTCCCTGAGTAACAATTCTCTGGCACTCAGTAACAATTCTGTGGCCCTGAGTAACAATTCTCTGGCACTCTGGTAACAAACAATTCTGTCTGTCCCTGAGTAA